CAAATACGCCCGTGCTTACCTTGCTTACTGGGTCATCCGTGCCTGTCAGGGATTGTAAATTTGAAAAGAGGCTCTGATTCTGTAGGAAGGTGCTGTGGGGTTGGAAGAGAGACAGATACCAGCCATACCTAGAAGAAGAGTCTTTGATGTGGTGAAAAAACTGTGAAATTGTTCACTACAGATGATCTGGGAAGCAAGGTAAGCACCGTGCTTACCTTGCCTATTGGATAATCCGCCATGAACCTGAGCGGGGGAACTGGCATGGACGCGGGCTCCAGGTGCTGGGATGTTACCGTGATTTCCCCAGGGGCCGAGCGGCGTAGGGGTGGAAAAGGTAGCGCTCCACCTCAGCATCGCAGCCAGGTGAGGCCATGGGGTCCCTCATCAGGTACACCCATATTCAACACCTGCGCAGACCACCCCACCCCAGGCTCAGCCAGAGCTCTGTGTTCTGATTGGTAACGGATTGGGGTTCTTTCTGTCGCGACCCTTGTGCTATCCACACAACAGAAGCAGCTGAGGGCAGAAATCGAGCTCAGTGTTCGATTGGCAGGATTTCGTTCTCCCTACAGGGTGGTTACTTAAGACCAAAGACAGCTTCCAAAGGACCTGCTTCAGATCAGATCTCCCCAGCAGCTCCAACGAGCAGATTTATTAGAACTGCAAGACCAGGTGCCTGGAGGGCGGGCTGGTGGTCAACAGAAATGAAAACCGCCACCACTGAAGTGAATGGGAGAACAGTTTCTACATCATTTCCCCATCTTTGGGGGAAAAGAGGGCAAAGCTGTGCTTTCTTTCCTTGCATTGGCCTCATCCATGGGCAGCAATATAATACAAATACTAGGGAGTACACGTGCGATGATACAACCTACATCAGCAAGATCAACCTCTGCTGCTACAAGAGCCATCCAACTCCACACTGCAACATTGTACTAAACAAAGTAGCTACTCAGGGCAACGAGGAGAAGACTCCGGGCTGTGGAAAACACTGGGGTCCCTCAGCCACCGCAGACAAGCTAAAATCCTGTCATGTTGGCAAGCAGCCCGGCAGGCCCTGGGCCCCGGCACTTAACCACTGTGCACCAGGGCTCCTCCTACAAAAAGAAAGAAACCCATTGCCCTCGAGTCGATTCCGACTCATAGCAACCCTACAGGACCGAGCACAACTGCCCCATAGGGTTTCCAAGGAGCTGCTGGTGGATTTGAACTGCCGCCCTTCTGGTTAGCAGTTGTAGCTCTCAACCACTGTGCCACGAGGGCTCCCCTCCTACAAGGGGTAACCCCCCCCCAAAAAAAAAGCAAATCTGTTACCATGTGGAGTCCATTCCAACTCCCAGCTACCCTATAGGACAGAGTAGAACTGCCCATAGGGTTTCTAAGGCTGTAAATCTTTATGGAAGCAGACTGCCACATCTTTCTCCCGCGGAGTGTGTGGTGGGTTCAAACACCCGCCTGTCGGTTAGTAGCTGAGCACTTAATCGCTGCACCACCAGAGCTCCTCCTATGAAGGGTAGAGGGTAAATATTTCTAAAGGGCAGATTCCACATCTGCCTATGATCAGCTTTCCACCTGATGGACTACAGACAAGGAGTCAAAAAACAAAGCCAAAACGTTTTTACCAACCTGGCTAAATGCGAAAAATTCCAGCGATGGTCACTAATAATAATAAAAATGTGAAGTAATAACAGCTCTGACACGTACCAGGCACTGGAGGCTCCTAACAAGCCTCTGAGGGAGGTTGTAGTATTAACCCCATTTTACAGATGGGGAAACTAATGCACAAAGAAATTAAGTAAGGACCACATACCAGGGTTGGGATTTGAGCCCAGGCAGTGTCTACCTTTGGAGGCCACGTTCTTAACCACTGCACCGTGCAACCCAAAATCAGGGGTAGACAGGCCAGCCCAGTTATAGGTAGGTTATGTGAACTCAATGGAGCCTTGGTGGCACTGTAGTTAAGTACTCAGCTGTTAGCTGAAAGGTTGGCAGTTCGAACCTACCAGCCACTCTGCAGGAGAAAGACATGCCAGTCTGCTTCCATAAAGATTTACAGCCTTGGCAACCCTAGAAGGCAGTTCTACTCTGTCCTATAGGGTCGCTATGAGTCGGAATCAACTTGATGGCAACGGGTTTGGTTTTTTGATCTGTAAACTCAACGGCTGTCTTCTCAAATACCCTTCCTCACACTGGAGCCTGAGCTGGTATGAAACCCGACACTGTTGAGTTGATTCCGGATATTAGTAGCTAGTAAAAAAAACAAAACCCAAACCCACTGCCATCGAGTCGATTCTGACTCATAGCAACCCTATAGGACAGAGTAGAACTGCCCCATAGGGTTTCCAAGGAGCAGCTGGTGGATTCGAACTGCTGACCTTTTGGTTAGCAGCCCAGCTCTCAACCACTGGAATCAGTCCCCACTCCCTTGCATTCTTCAGAATCACTTGGCTGCGTGAACCACACTGCCTTGTCTGAAAAGGGGGGGCAGGGGGAATGTGTGTAAGTGACTGACAGGATCTGGTTACAATCGGGAGACACTGTGGTATAGTGGTTTTAAGGGGCGGGCTCTGGAGCTGGAACACCCTGGGCTTAAGACCTAATTCTGTCACTCCCTGGGTGGCACAAACAGTTAAGTGCTCAGCTGCTCACTGAAATGATCAGTTTGAGACAACCCTCTGGGCACATCAGAAGAAAGGCTTGGCAATCTACTTCAGAAAATATCAAGCCATTGAAAACCCTGAGGAACACATTCTACTCTGACACGCACAGGGTCTCTATGAGTCAGGATCAACTTGATGGCAACTGGTTTTTGGTTTCTGTCACTCATAGCTGCATGAACTTGGGGACTTTACTTCTCTAAGCCTCAGTGTTGCCATCTGTACAATGGGCATAATGGCAGGGAATTGATGCATGATAATCAGGAGCTATTTAGACGATAACCATAATTGCTAGAGGGTTAAAGAATTCCACTGGCAAGAACTTTCCTTAGCCGTATTCTGAGACCCTTTGCTCACCATAAACACTCATATACAAAAAAGTGCCACATAAAACACAATAGCAACACTTAGCACGCAACACGAAGTTCCTGGTTAATACTAAAAGGCACACCTCCCTTTAATAATCCTTTGTTTGCAAAAGCTTTCATGGCTCTTAAACGTGCTTAATACTCACTAATCAATTCTAACATAATGAGGAATTTCTAAAATAAAAGCACAGATTCTAAAAAGTTCCCTAATCAATCGGCGACCGATTTGGAATGGAATTCTCGAGTCTCAGCGTCTGCCCCAACCACACGACAACATGTGTGATCACAGCCATTTTTGAGAACCCCTTCCCTCTTCTTTCCATATAAAGGAACCAGGTGCCTTCAGGCGGTAAAGACAGTAGAGTGCCAGGATCAAGTCCTAGGAACTGGACCGAGGTAGGAAAACAAACTCCACCACCCGCAATGAGAGACTCAACTTTCCATTATGTCGTTTTCTATTTCTAATCGGATCTGAACTCGATTGTGGCCAACATATGACACCAACTTCCGAGTGTGGGAATAACAGGATTTCAAGATTCGCTGCCTTCTGGCAGGTTTCCTAGGGCTATTTTTAGCAACCTTAAATTGCCTTTTTCTTTTCTCAAGGAAATACCCAGGGAGAAGAGCGCAGGCCGTAATGAAGTGAGTTTGCGGACATCTGGCCCTTCAACAGCCTAGACCCCCCAACCTAAACGCCCGGGAAGGCTGTGAGCGCGGGCGCCTCTGCGGTGGAAGCAGACTTAGGGTGCTGTGTCCACAAATGCCGGCTTCCCACAAGTTCCGGTTCGCGTGCTCTCACAATCCAGCCAGACAAAGACTGCAAGTTCTCGGGTCCACGGCTCTAGGCAGGCGGGGACCGAGTCTCCCCCGAACTGGGCCTACTCCCGGCCCGGGGCGCCCGCACCGCCCCGGAGGGGATCCCCAGGATCCCCCTGGGTGACCTGAGTCCCCTCGCGCCACCTGCGCTCCTTCTTAGGGCCCTGGACCGCTTGGGGCTGCGACCGGACCCCGGCCCTCCTCGGCCCGCCGCTGCAGGCCCACGCGCCACGCGCCCCCGACCCTGTCTCCGCC